GGCCATCAAGACAGTATCGGCCATCAAGACTGTATCGGCCATCAAGACAGTATCAGCCATCAAGACAGTATCAGCCATCAAGACAGTATCAGCCATCAAGACAGTATCAGCCATCAAGACAGTATCAGCCATCAAGACAGTATCAGCCATCAAGACAGTATCAGCCATCAAGACAGTATCAGCCATCAAGACAGTATCAGCCATCAAGACAGTATCAGCCATCAAGACAGTAATGGCCATCAAGACAGTAATGGCCATCAAGACAGTAATGGCCATCAAGACAGTATCAGCCATCAAGACAGTATCAGCCATCAAGACAGTAATGGCCATCAAGACTGTATCAGCCATCAAGACTGTATCAGCCATTAAGACTATCAGCCATTAAGACTGTATCGGCCATCAAGACTGTATCAGCCATCAAGACTGTATCAGCCATCAAGACAGTATCAGCCATCAAGACAGTATCGGCCATCAAGACAGTATCAGCCATCAAGACAGTATCAGCCATCAAGACTGTATCAGCCATCAAGACTGTATCAGCCATCAAGACAGTATCAGCCATCAAGACAGTATCAGCCATCAAGACAGTATCAGCCATCAAGACAGTATCAGCCATCAAGACAGTATCAGCCATCAAGACAGTATCAGCCATCAAGACAGTATCAGCCATCAAGACAGTATCAGCCATCAAGACAGTATCAGCCATCAAGACAGTATCAGCCATCAAGACTGTATCAGCCATCAAGACTGTATCAGCCATCAAGACTGTATCAGCCATCAAGACAGTATCAGCCATCAAGACAGTATCGGCCATCAAGACAGTATCGGCCATCAAGACTGTATCAGCCATCAAGACAGTATCGGCCATCAAGACTGTATCAGCCATCAAGACAGTATCGGCCATCAAGACAGTACTGGCCATCAAGTGTCGATTGATCTATAAGAATTTAGGTCCAGCCCGACACGTCCGATGTGTCAATGAAAAGTGACCTTGACTTAACAGTCTCTGTACATTTTAATTAATGGCTGTAAATTTGTTTTCTGAATTTCAAAAATCAAATCATGATGTATTTTTGTGACACTAATTCCCAACACTTTGCAGAATACTGAACTCGAAGCACACATTCACAGACAGGGTCTCAGAGAGTCCCACCTGTAACTGTGCTGCACCTACAAGACTACTAGAATCTGGCAGACAAAGAATAGAAATCTGGCTAATCTGAACATATTCAAGTGACAAATCTGGGACACCACTGAGATCTGACCTAAGGGGCACCTTCCTGGTCAAGACTTATGTTTAAACAGAAACACAGCAAAGGATGAGTTGAAGAACAAGCAATATTTAGCAGTGAACTTATTTACAAAAGTCACAAAGGGAACAGAAACCCTTGAAAAGAGATTTTAAAAAACAAAACATGAAGAGGTTTATGTGAAATTCTGTTTATTTGTTAAATTTTGTTTTTGAATACCGGTGACAAACAGTCCATTCCAACTGAACATACAACATAGCAGTGTCAACAAGGGAGTTCAAATCTAGCTGCAAAGTTATTTCATGTGAACAGAATTGACTGTGATAATACACACATTAGCTTCCTTACTGGTGATTTTCACAAGAGGAAACATGTAGATCAGACAGTCAGAAACCATTATGGAATAATAGGTCCCCCAGAGAGCCGTCACCCACAAGTTTGTGATACTTTTTTCTGTAATATTACAATAAATAAACAGAGGGGGAACCCTTGAGGCCGTTAAATATTAAATATTAATCAAGTAACAGACAATGTATTGATGGGCACTCATAGAAAGAAGTAGAAAGATAGAAGAACACTCTAGACAACATAAAAATTGAAAGCTATAGTTACCGTGCCGGGAATTGAACCTGTCACCTCCAGACGGCGTGTGCACCTCGCCATGGATACAAGTGCACTATATTCCACAATATGTGGAATAACAATTACATTCAACATTTGCTTCGTTAATATAAATTTCTGTAACCTATGGTGCCATTTCAATGGTTTAAAATGAATTCTGTCCATGTTCCATAGTTGTGGATTTCAAGTTGTACGACAGACATGGCCAATAAGATACCTTTTTTGGGTGTGCCTAGTTGACCATGTTCTTAGTGCACTTGTATCCATGGCGGGGCGCACACACCGTCTGGAGGTGACAGGTTCAATTCCCGGCATGGTAACTATAGTTTTCTATTTTTATGCTGTCTAGTGTGTTCTTCTATCTTTCTACTTCTGTCTATGAATGCCGATCAATAAATTTTCTGTTACTTGATTATTATTATTACATGAAAGATAACTGTCATAATAATATTCTTCTAAACGGTTCCCTTGTAGGTCCTTTTTTTCTCTCAGACCGTTTGTTTCCCATTTTAGTGCCTGTTTTATAATTCTTTGTCCATTTCGTCTCAGAGTGTCCAATATACCTCTTTCTTCCCTGTCTGATTGCAGTCGATGCAGGTACTGCAACTAGTCCTGAAGGGTAATAATAT